TTGATGATAGATGGGGTGGGTGTTCCTGTGGGCTGGTCCAATAGATACCATGATCCTTGTGGTCTGGTCCTATAGATTCCAGGGTCCTCATGGTCTGGTCCAGTAGATACTGGGGTCTTCATGGTCTGGTCCAATAGACACCAGGGTCCTCATGGTCTGGTCCAGTAGACTCTAGTGTCCTTGTGATCTGGCTCAATAGATACCAAAATCCTCATGGTCTGGCCCAATAGACACCGGGATCCTCATGGTCTGGCCCAATAGATTCCAGGGTCTTCATGGTCTGGTCCAGTAGATACTGGGGTCTTCATGGTCTGGTCCAAGAGACATCAGGGTCCTTGTGATCTGGCCCAATAGATACCAAGATCCTCGTGGTCTGGCCCAGTAGACTCCAAGATCCTCGTGGTCTGGTCCAATAGACATTGGGGTCCTCATGGTCTGGTCCAATAGACACTGGGGTCCTCATGGTCTGGTCCAATAGACATTGGGGTCCCTGTGGTCTGGCCCAATAGGTACCAATGTCCTCATGGTCTGGTCCAGTAGATACCAGGGTCTTCATGGTCTGGTCCAAGAGACATCAGGGTCCTTGTGATCTGGCCCAATAAATACCAAGATCCTCGTGGTCTGGTCCAATAGATTCCAGGGTCCTCATGGTCTGGTCCAGTAGATACTGGGGTCTTCATGATCCCAGCCAATAGATACTGGGATCCTCGTGGTCTGGTCCAGTAGACTCCGGGGTCCTCGTGATCTGGTCCTATAGACATTGGGGTCCCTGTGGTCTGGTCCAGTAGACTCCAGTGTCCTTGTGATCTGGCCCAATAGATACCAAGATCCTCGTGGTCTGGCCCAATAGACATTGGGGTCCCTGTGGTCTGGTCCAATAGACACCAAGATCCTCGTGGTCTGGTCCAATAGATTCCAGGGTGCTCATGGTCTGGCTAGTAGACTCCAGGGTCCTCGTGGTCCCAGCCAACAGACTCGTCTTCAGTGGGGGGATCTCACAGGTTTCCCCAGAGGGTCTCTTTCCCATAGTCCTTTTCCAAAGCGAGTGGAGATTTATGGGCCAGGTGAGGTGCTTCAGACAGAACATGCAGTGGGGCTCCAGAAGCAGCTGCAGGTGCAGTTACCTGTACCGTGGACAGCAGGGCCAGCACAGCACACCTGCAAACAGTCCCTGGGCCAGCATCCACCTGGGCCGGGCCAGAACACCTGTCCAGAAGCAGGTGGAGGTCCTTGGGACAGCCTCCATCCTCACAGTGGTCACGGGGCAACTGAGAGAACTCCAGACCGGCTCTGACAGTGGTGGATCTCCAAAAAACACATCCCCACGCCGATAGGTTTTGCCTTTTTTCCCAAATTTTGTGCTTTTTTGAGTTTTTTATTTGGCGTTTCCCAGGGAAGCCGTGCGACCCGGCCGACCGGCAGTTCAACACGCTCATCCCGTGGTGCCTCCCGCACACCGGCAACCGGCACAACCACTGGGCCGGCCTCTACGGGCGCCTCGAGTGGGACGGCTTCTTCAGCACCACCGTCACCAACCCCGAGCCCATGGGCAAGCAGGTGCGCCACGGCGAGCGCGGCCACGGCCGGCGGCTGCCATGGTGGCCA